TTGTGATCTTGGCTCTGGGTAAGATGAGAGTGCCTAGAAATATCCAGAAAACCTAGATAGCTGGAGGTAAACAACACCCGACTGCTGCAAGAACAGCATGTACACAAAGCCAAACCGTTTTTTTGTTTTCTGTGAAGCTCCGATTTGAATAATGCAACGTTTAACATCGAAGTCTTCTGCTTGCACAGAAAAAAAAAACATTTTGAAGACAGCACAGACATGTCAAATGATGTGCATAAATGTTTGAGATAAAGCAGGCAATCTGAAAGGAAGCGGATTTGCTGCTACTTTGGGTTGTCTGTTAGTAGCACTGCTTTAATTAAGCGTCCCACCCTGGCCCACTTTCTTTTGGCGGTGGGCTGGCGATTAGACACAGTATCATCCCACAATGGGAGCCATCAAGCTATGCAGTGTGTCAAGAATCTTTGTCGGTTTGGATCTGGGTCACTTCACGTTCACGTTCCTTCTTGCATGTTTTGGTGCACTTTGAAAGTGAGGTGTCAAGTGCGTTCAGTTTTATCACGTTGGCTGTTGTATGTGTCGCGGGAGTTCAGAAATGAAATGTCCAGTGAGTGGCGCTAAAAAGTGAATGCTCTATCACGTCTGAAAATAATGTACCACCTTCACTTAACTCTACCCTAAACCCAACCAGTAGTGTACAAAAGCAAAAGCTGAGATAAAAACTCAGAATGAGATAAAAACACATTTGCTGATGCAACCATGCCATTTTAGCTTGCTTCCACAAGTCTTTGAGCTCTTTCATCATGACTTGTGTTTCACATGAACCGTACTTGAGTGTGTCGCATCGCAAGTTTTACAATTTTGCAAACATTTAGGTAGAGGCACGTTTTTCCAGTGAGCCTACACTGTAAAAAATGACTGTGAATTTAACGGTAAAAGACTGTAAAAATGCTAAACGGTAAATTCCCCTACTATATACGGTGAAAAACTGTATTGGACATTACATGTATTGGACATTAATTTTACGGTAGTATACCGTTTTTGGAAGTGAAATAGGCCGTATAATTTACAGTGAATAACCGTAAATTGACATTCCCAGAATTCCCTGCGTTACATTTCAAATTTGATGTTTTTTTGTTGAAATAACTATGTTTCTTCTTAGTTTTTTCTTATCAGTTTTGTATATTAGGGTTGAGTGTTACACCTAATGTTGTTAAATGAATGTTTATTGCATTATTTCAGTTTCATGTGTGTTACCATGATGGTGTTTAGTGTTTGTGTGAATGACACTGTGCACCTTCTATATATGTTATTATTTAAAAGCTGCTTGTGATGGGCTTTGGTTCATCATGTGACTTTCTCATCACCACCTGCATTTGGTGGTTATCAGTGTATTACAAAGATACAAAACAGATTTCAGTACTTCAATAGATTGGTATATTAACATTATATCA